CAAAGCCAGGTATGCTAATTCTCGAGTTTCCTTCTTAATCACCTGAGGACACTTTCTAGTCAACATGAGTGATCATGATGCTCATGATGATAAAACTGTATTATGGCCCAAAAATGAATTGGATATCTTATCCTGAAAGGGGAAACTAAGTCTAGAATTGCAAAGCTTCTTTGCTAATAAAAAATTAGGAACAATGTAAAGAAATAAGCCAATCTCAAGATGTTTTGTGGATAGCCCCTTCAATCAATCTTATGGTAAGAATGATCCTGCTCTTCTCCTATATCACTGAAAACCTTAGGTCTAATGTTCTTTATGTTTATTATCTACATCAAATTAGTTCATATTCATCTAGGCTAAAGGTTGTTGTTTTTTTTCTCATTTTGCTAGTTATTTTTTAAGTACTGAAAATTCACCAAGAGGAAGGCAATTACATAGGTAAGCAGATCTGGTGCAATGTGATTCCTAAGTGATTGACAGGCCTGTGTCTCTTTGTTTACAAAAATGCTATTAACTTAAATGTCAAAAAAGATCCCGTACATACCTTAGAAATTCTGCATGAATCTGTGGATTTATAAAAGAAGCAAATTTCATAGGAACAATATATATTATGACAGAAAGATAATAACCCCAAGACATTCTTCACAGTGTAATACTAAGCCTAGTTAGCTTTTTATATGCATTGCAAAATGCCAAGGAAATTTAAGTAATAAAAATGAAGTTACAGTCAGTGTTGTTCTCTTTCATTATAAGCATGGTGTTCACAAATACTATACATATTTCCACATCCTCCATTTCCCACTGCATTCCTTTGCTAGGGAAAAAAATTGCTGATACGTAGGGAAGAAGTTTGAGAAAAGAAGCAATGTTCAGCGTAGGCAGTCCATGTCTCACAACTGCTTGCTTAGTGACCGTTCAAAGTTACAGTGGCACTGAAAAAATGACTTATATCCATTTTTCCTTTTTATCACCATTGTAGCATGACCATGGTCACATAATCAACATTCAGATGCTTGGCAACTGATACATATTTATGATGGTTGCACTGTCCCGGGGTCATGGGTTCACCTTTTGTGAACTTCTGACAAGCAGTCAATGGGGATTCACTTAACAACTATGTTACCAACTTAACAACTGCAGGGATTCCCTTAACAACTGTCAAGAGAGGTCATTAAATGTGGCAAGACTCACTTAATAACTGTCTCACTTAGTAATATAAGTTCTGGACTCAATTGTGGTCGTAAGTTAGGGTTAGTGTCTGAAATATTGACAATTAAAACCAAAGATTTGTTTCTTATAATAATATATTTGCACTGCATATTAACTACAGGTTTTCTTGTGCTTGATCTTTTTTTTTCTTCACTTCCTTAGTGTGTCAACAACTGAACTGCTGAATCGTCAATGCCTCTCATGCAATTTTATGAAAGATCGTTGTACATATTTTAATGCAAAGTTTAGTCCTTCAATCAAGTATTTCATTCTACAGTGTAAGGGTAAGCCAGGCTCTCTTTGTACTGTTATTACACTTATTTTTTTAAATGAAATGTTTTTGAACTTCAAAAAAATAAAGCATCTCATTAATAGGCTTTTATATTGATTAATTTGATCATTCCTATGATACAATGGTTTATGAAGCAAAGAACCAAGGGAGAAGGATGGCTAGAAGTAATTGTATAAAAGAAATTGTATTCTTTTATTCACTAGTTATTTAAATTATTTAAAAGGATATTCTTCAATGTGTTCTCTTACTATCAAATTACACACAACCAAAAGTCTGGATAGTTGCAGATCTAGATGACATTTGTCAATCTGTGATATAAATAACATTCTTGTTATCATTAGTAAAATGCCCAGGAAGGTTATGGAGGTTGCCGGAGAATCAACTACATACATGTGGTGGTCTCTCATGAGGAATAAGACACACAGGCAAGGTATCTCAGGATGAGAGCTCAGAACAGAGTCCGAAACCCCCTTTTATTCTTATTACACTCATTAGCATACAATGTTATCACTTAGGGCCAGAGCTGGCTNGGGGCCCATAGAATTTGACCCCTGCTGCCAATCATTGCTTTGATCAATTAAGGAAAATCACGGGAGAAAAAAGGTTAAATTTTTTTTTTTTTTTTTGCAGATCAAAAATGAACAATTTAGTATACGACATCTGACATCAGGGAACTGGGAAGTTATAAAAATCTTGGCATATGACGAAAATACCCAAAAGATGTGAGCATTATTTTTCTTTGTCTGTTCAGGTAAAATATCTGTGTTATCAAGATAGATTCAATGCTATTGGTATAGCGATGTTAATTTTGTTTCTTGTGTTATTAAATGCTAATACTAGCCATGAACTATAAGTACAAAGACAAACTGTATTTAATCTCTTGATATAGGAACTTTTCCTGAATATTAAAATAAGGCTAGGCTGTAATAAATTCTGCTTCCAAGTATTCCTTGAAATAAAAAAAACTCTAAACACTGGGTTAGGCAACAAAATTTCCAAGTGGTCTTGTTTTAGAATAGTCAGATCATTAGGATTTAAAAATTAAATACATTTTCACCTTTGGATCTCCCATTTTAAAAATCTGCTTACCTTTGAGAATAATAAGGAATAGTTCTTCCTGTTTTTTCTAGGTTGTAAATGGATGTGCTTCCCAGTAGTGTTAACAGAAAGGATTTCCCAGGAACTCCTGAAAAATATCATTTATTAATAATTATCTTTGTTAAGATTTCAATGTTGCATAGAAATAAACTTTGTTGATTGTGATGAGATTTATAAAGGGTTTCATTTAAATATGTAGAAGTGTTGAAGCCATTTTCCAATATAACAGATGTTTAATTATGGATGCCTGGTATACGAATGAGCTAAAGCCTCTGTTGTCTTTTAATATCTCTTTTGTCTTTAATACAAGCAAGGTGGGTACTTTGAAAACCTGCATTCTTTTTTCTCGGAACAAGATCAATTATTCTGCCTGATCATTAGTTAATTTGCTTCTCCCTTTTAATCTTGGAGAATTAAGGCAGACAATCTCTTCTGAACACAAAACAGTAAGACTCCTGATTAAAAACAAGTGTTTTAATCATTAATTAAGCTCCATCTGAATAGAATATAGCATATCAATAGTCCAATTTGTATTTTATTTTTTACAAAGCCAGGTATGCTAATTCTCGAGTTTCCTTCTTAATCACCTGAGGACACTTTCTAGTCAACATGAGTGATCATGATGCTCATGATGATNAAAAAAAAAAAAAACCTCTCCCAATTGTTTTTGTGGAATTCCTTGAATGAATCATTAGCTGTGTGACAAACCAGTGTGTTATAGTGCTCCAGATGAAGTTGGAGACACTAACACAAATTGTAGACTCTCTGTTTCTGTCTCTCTGTCACACATTCACACTTTCACACACACACACACACACACACCACACACAACACACACACACACATACACAGGATGATCTATGACAGAATATATCTTGCTGGAGATCTCAAGTTCTAATTGGATGAGATTAGTTCCAAATTGCCCTGCTTTCTGGAATGAAGATGTACCATAAATAAACTAGCCCCTCCATATCCCTAATACTGTTCTCAATTTTGCAAAGAAAATTAAGAAATAAATCTCTCCTAGGATAAGGAACATGCATTAAAAGATTTCCTGTCCAAAACATTAGATCCAATGAGCTTTTGATGATACAATTCTAGGCACACAGTTTTAAATTCAGTCTGAGCCAAAGACAGACAAGAGTTAGTTTTAACCCTGTACTCAAGTTCTGTTTGATTCTTTTTAAAGTCAGTGAAAATATTCAATTTAATATTGATATCAATGGATATTAATACAGATATGGATGCTAAATACAGATGTTGTTTTCATTAACAGAATATGCTATTGCACATTTACAGATTATTTGTGAATTATTTCTTGCTGCTGATCATTATTTCTTCTTTCTCCTATTTTCCTGCAAGTAGTGTATTTACCCTATTAAACTAAAATATCATTCATGCTAATAGAAGAAGATATTTGTAGCTCAGGGTTGAGCTGTAAAGTCCGGAGTGCTCTCTGAGTTGTTTTGTTTTGTTTTTGTTTTTTGAACAAGTTTCATTACCCAAGTAGATAACACCTTCAGCTAATGCTATTTATTGTGGGAGTCAAGTATTGAGACATTGCATCTACAGTATATACTGTAATTTTCATTATCAGAAGACCAAGATAGAGTTCCTTGCTCAAGGAAATCTTTATAGCTCAACTATATAAACATTAAGGGAAGAGGACCTAACAAAATGTAATATTTGCTTCCTTGAATCCAATTGAACTATTTAAGAACATTTAGACTGCTTTAGGATATATTGCCATTGAGAATTCAAGGAAATTAACAGTGAGATACAAGAATTGTATATCTGCTGAACTGTACTCCCCCCACCCCCAAAAAACAAACAAACATCCATGGTATGCATGGACATCAGTGTTTTTTTTAATACATGTGTATGCTCAGCAAAACAAAATGCTATAATTTGTAAGGATAGTATCATCATCATCATCATCATCATCATCATCATCATCATCATCATCATCATCAATCACCATCCAAACAGAACTTTCTCACTCATTCTCTTCCTTTCAATCCATTCACTTTTCTTTCATACAGTTGTTTTTTTTAGTTTAGTCCATTCTGTAATATGTCTCAATTTCCTCAGTGTACTTCAGGAGTACCTAGGTGCAAGGAGAGGCTCAAGGGGTCAGAATAACAGCTGCAATTATACACTTGAAACCCTGACCCCTTTTTTTTACATGCAATTTAGATTGCTGTGTTGAGGGTTTTTTTTACCAGTGCCAATGCCCCAGATATATTACTTTTGTATTCATCACTCACTTTTGCATTGTGTCTAGTTCCATTCATTCTTGGCCCTATCTCTATTTTACTGCAAACTTAAATAACCCATTGTCATTGCATTCAAATTACCATACATTTTTTTTATTCATGACATAATCAACTTACATTTTCATACAAAACAGAATCCAGACGCACCCACTTATACGAGGCCATTTTTGCCTATTTCAACAAATATTCATTCTTCACAATAGCCTGCATACTATGTGCTATCTTTCTACCACCATTTGTCTGGGCATTCATTTTCCCATCTTCAGTTAGCATGTTACCAAGATACACAGTCAGCTATTTGCTTATTTTTTTTACCATTTGTATAAAATTTGTGTTAATTCATTCATTCCATTTTACCTGCCAAATACAAATACCTTGAGCTTTGATTCATGAATTTTCAGATTCATGTTTCTCACTACATCATACAATATGTAACATTTTCTGAAAATCGTTCATGCTCCCAGGAAAAATTGCAGCATTATTTGCATACAGAAATATAAACATATACCTTTCTCAGTCAACAA